TCATATGCGAGTAAAGGCAGGTGAGCGAATACTTTTGGCAATATAGTGTAGTTCCATATTAGCCAACAGGTAGATCAGGTCAACAGGACTAGCAAATGGGGAAGCCCTTTTAAAGGAAGTTCTCAACTTTTGACCCTTTGTTTAATGGTAATTTACAGTTAGAATGATCTCTAAAAAAAAATAACTTGGGACCTGCACGTGATTGCAATTGGGGCCCTTGGCAACCATCTTGCACTTAAGACAGTGGTGTATTAACCATTAAGCAGACTAAGCACATGCTTAGGGCACCAGGCCCAAGGGGGCACCAAAAAGTTGAGAAAGAAAAAAAACCAATGAAGATTTGTACAGTATGTACAAGATTTGTCAGTGCTTAGTGCACCAGTGAGCCTTAATCCGCCACTGACTTAAGACCAGTTACAGCATTGTGCCATCATATGAATTGCTGGCCTTTTGGGGGGGGAGGGGGGCAGTTTTAGGCAAAAAAAAACCTATCGAGGAAGCTGGATTCACTTAATGACCATGCAATTGGTTAACAACTGTTGTAAAAATTGTTGCAAACTCAGGTCCAATTCAACTTAAAATGGCAATGACTTACAATGGAAATTATGGTCCCAACTGTGCTTGTAAGTCGAGGAATATGTATAAGTTAAATAGCTTTTTGTTACCCAGTGGGTAAATTGCTCCAGTTAGGTTATCCCTCTAAGCAGGATTTTTACTGCCTGGTAACTTTTATATCCAATATTTCTTTTCCATATATCTTTAATTTTCCATTTCAGTTATGAGAATGTCTGGGTTTAACATCTTCTAAACATGTGCTAAGGGATGCGGTGGCTCAGTGGCTAAGACGCTGAACTTATCGATCAGAAAGGTTGGCAGTCCGGTGATTTGAATCCCTAGTGCCTCATAACGGATTGAGCTCCCGTTACTTGTCCCAGCTTTTACCAACCTAGCAGTTCGAAAGCATGTAAATGCAAGTAGAAAAATAGGGACCACCTTTGGTGGGAAGGTAACAGCGTTCCGTGTTCCTTCGGTGTTTAGTATGCCGGCCACATGACTATGGAGACATCTTCAGACAGCGCTGGCTCTTCGGCTTTGAAACGGAAATGAGCACCGCCACCTAGAGTCGGGGATGACTAGCACATATGTGCGAGGGGGACCTTTACCTTTACCTAAACATGTGCTATTCTAATACTGAACAAAACCTCCAAAGCCCACAGTGTTACATTAGAATCCCAAATATTTAAACCAGGACAAATATCAGAGTACTTAAAATATGGAGGAATCTTAGATGCTTAAAAGACAGTATGTCCTTTCAATTAGCTTTGGATATTTTGTTCAGTGGTTACAAAAAACTTGTTTTCCTCTAATAATGCACTTAATTTGACATTTAAAAGTGACAGTCATTTGTTTTTTTTCTGCTTCAGGTCCAGAAGGTGCCCTTTGCGAACATTCTGTAGAAACACCACTTGTTCAAGGTGTGGGAGAGGATGTCAAAAATCTAACACTTAAGTAAGAATATCTCTCCAAAATGAGTAAATGTTTATTATTATTCTCATATTTTTTTTTGCTGTATTCCTTAGTAATGCTAGATTTGTGGAGCAGTAAGATACCGTATTTTTTGGAGTATAAGACCCACCGCAGTATAAGATGCACCAAGATTTTGAAGAGGCAAATTAAAAAAAAAGTTTTTGCACTCGGCAGGCCTCCGAAAAACAGCCTGTTTTTTTTTAAAAGGGGCATTATAGAGTGCTCCTGGGGGGTGCCCCCCCAAATGAGCAAACATTGGGCCATTTTTCAAAAAAACAGGCCCTTTTTTTGAAAAAAAAATGGCATGCATAGCCTTTAGGAGGCTTATAGAGTGCTCCTGGGGGCTGGGGGGGGCAAAANATCCTATCCTATCCTATCCTATCCTATCCTATAGCAATAGCACTTATGTACCACTTTACAGTGCTTTCCAGCCCTCTCTAAGTGGTTTACGGAGTCACAGCATATTTTCCCTGACAATCTGGGTCCTCATTTTACCCACCTTGGAAAGATGGATGGAAGGCTGAGTCAACCTTGAGCCTGGTGAGATTTGAACTGCCAAATTGCAGGCAACTGGCAATCAGCAGAAGTAGCCTCAGTACTGCATTCTACTCACAGATCCAATCCTATCCTATCCTTACTGTACCATAACATAAATAACATAACATATATCATTGTAAGTTATATAAGATATACATCATATACAGGGGTGGATTGCTACCGGTATTACTTGCCGGTCTGGCGCGCATGCACATTTACACCTAAAAAGAAAGGGGGGGAGGGAATTACATTTCTGCAATGGAGATTGTTCTACGCATGCGCAGAAGCAAAAATAAAGATGGCGCCACCCACAATAGAACCAGTTTGGATGTGTGGGCAGCATCCAAGTAGTTACTACCTACTCGAACCTGTAGGAACCCACCTCTGATCATATATCATTGTAAGAGTTGGAAAAAAAATGAATGTGTTTTTTACTTTTCAGTAAGGTCTATCCAAAAGTTTTAAATATTTACATTCTTTTTTGTCTTAATCCTAGGATTCACCCTTACTTTTGCAGTCTTCTCATAATGTGACTTTGAATGCACGCAATAGTGATGGAAATGTCACAGGCAGATTAAGCGTAGGTAGGTATAATATATTTTGCTTTAGTTTGGATTTTGAAAGTTTTATATCCAAAGAAATGAATGTGTATCTTTTTATGATCCTGTACAATATCTGATATATATTTATGATCTCGTATAGTGTGTGTGTGTGTGTGTGTGTGTGTGTGTGTGTGTGTGTGTGTGTGTGTGTTGCCTTGGCTAGTCAAATACCTGAAATAAAGAAAAATACTTTTATGTCATCAAAAAAAGAACATATGAATAATTTCCCTTCATTTATAAATTTCTTTAGTGGTTTAATTCCTGGGAAGATATTAATATCAAATTTATATAAATTATAAAAAAATATAAATTAGATATAAATTCATCATTCAAAATACAGCCGTTTAGATTAAAGATTCTGTGTAAAGAGACAAGATGTTGCATATTAAGAATTTCAAGTTATATCAAATCTGGAATTATAGTTTAGCTTACTTTATCCACATTGTATATATTCACAAAGAGCTATGTTTATATTTTTGCATGCTGATATCTACAAAATTTGTCTTTCCATTTGGTTTAAAACACTCTGCTTTTTCTAATCAAAGGAACCAGACGTAGAACACATAACCAGATGCTAATCTTGCACTGTAGTTCAATATATATATATCTCGACTGATCAATGTAATGAGTCTTACTCACAAATTATTGAGCATAAGATTACACATTTAGCATCCCAATTATATAATTATATGCTGCAACATTGAGGATGTGTGCTTAGGTATGTATTTTTAAAACATGAACAAAGAAAGTCCATTTTATAATGTTTTATCTTTTTTAGATCTGGATATGGTACAGTTTCATAGTCAACTATTTCAGATCAACTCTGTGAATTTTGATGAAAAACCTCTTTTTACTGCGCATGACAGTGACACTGCAATTGGTACAGAGAAACTTCGAGTCACAGGTTTGTTTGCAAGTCTAAAACTACAAAAAATGTTATTGTGAAGATGAAGACTGTAATCTGAAACTGGTTATATAAATAACAGTAATGTATATAAAAACGACTCTGTGTGTGTATGTTCCAGCATAACTCTGGAACACATTGAGCAATTTCAACCAAATGTGGTACACAGCTGACTTACCCTCTGGAGAAAAATATTGTGCGGGTAAAACACCCCTACAACCCTTCAGGGTGTGTGTTCTGTTAAGATACAGCCTGTTGTGGCTTAAAATGGCTTCTACTATACTGCAGTAAAATGACTTCTACTGTTCAGCACACTGGAGTTGCCATGGTAATGGCTTCATCGTACTCCACAAGGGACTCCCTCTGGTAAGGGGAAAAATACACTGAATACAGCATTTTTGGCTTCCGAAACTCCACCCCTTCACAAAAATGGACCTGCATATCCTTTAGGGGGCCTGGGGAGGGCAAAAACAAGCAAAAAAATGGTCCTTTTTTGTTCTTTTTGCCTCCCTCCCAGCCTTCAGGAACACTTTTCAGACCTCTCAAACTCTCTGCATGACCCATTTTTCACAAAAAACGAGGCTTGCAGAGGGTTTGGGAGGTCTGCAGAGTGCAATTTTTTTTTTTAAATTTACCTCTTCAAAATCTTAGTGGGTCTTATACTCTGAAAAATACAGTAAATATCCAGTCAATGCCGGATTATCAGCTAGTTTGTTTATTAATGAATTTAAGAGAGCATTGATTATTTTATTACTGATATTTTTAGCTAAAATGTTACATTAAACACCTTCAAAATTGTGTTTTACTTTGAGGTCTAAAAATATTTATTTTGATTAATTGGTAATTATTATTTTTTACTTGTAATTCATTTTTAAATAGATGCTGGATAGCATCTTAAAAAAAAGAAGGAAGAAAATAATCAATGCTCT